ATGTCTGTGAATATTGTATGAGCAGGGTTTACGCCTGTCACGACTATCAAATTGAAATAATTCTTTCGCGATACTTACCGATTATATAAATCCCTTCAGTAAACTACAAAATAATCTGTTAATATTGGAAGTTGTTTTAATAAAACATTGCTGAAAATACAGTTAAATGAGTCGCTGTTGAAAACCCTTCGGACAGCATCACACTTCCAGTCAGCTGATCAGAGGAGCTTGTGTTTCGTTCAGCTCACAATGCGTTCAGAATGCGCAATGTGGGTATTTTTGACCCCTTCAAATAACGAACATGAATTATAATTAATCAATATATTTTTTAAAGTAAGAGTTTTAAGATATTTTAGCTGCTTTAAGGATACGTTTGTTTTTTTTTAATTTTCAATAATATTTTCAATAAATTATTTTTTTTTAAATGCCACAAAACTTGGAGGAGCTTTAAGAAATCTACATTAACCTCCCGAGAACCATAAAAAAAGTTTTGTGAATTTTGTTGTTTTTTATGTCATTACATTGGTTGGAGCATAAGAAACAAATGGTGATAAAACATTTTTGATATGCACACGATATAAATAAGAGATTGATTGTGTAGTTAGTCCACTGATCTAGACTATAATAGAGAATATCGGGTTGCTGATGTCTGGGCTTATTTATTTATTTTTAAATGACATGAGACTTTGTGACTTCCTGCACTTGCTATACTTTATACTTCAGTATAGTAAAAGTACTCAGATTTGGTATTATACTCATTTTATAATAAATTCAAGACATGACAAACACTAGGGAGATGAAATGGCAACTGAACTAATGAGTGATTCTCTGCTTCCATCTACTGATTATAATGGTAATTTCATGTCATTTTCATCTTAAAAGTCTTTGTTTACCACCAGGAGATACATTTTTGGCACAGTTTTTCATCTTCATAAATTAATAATGTGAATCATTAAAGTGAGTTTTACTGCACGGCTGTAGAGTTAAAAAAAATAATAATTTAGGCTTTAAAATATTTTTTAAGTGTTTAAAAATGTGTACCATAGACGAACAGCCCTCAGTGGCCTGTAGCACGAAGCGAGATGAACAAACTCAGAGTTTGCTCAAACTAAACATGAACTTACCTGGGTAAAAACTGAAACCAGCTTTGTGCTACAGGCCACTGAGGGTTAAGGGCAGTGCGTAATTTTTTTGTTTGCGTTTATATATACAGTACTGTGCAAAAGTCTTAGGCCATTAGCAGTGGCGTAACTACAGACAGTGCAGGCAGTGCAGCCACACTGGGGCCCGTGCCGCTGGGGGGGCCCGCAGCGCACACGGGCCCTGCCCACGTTGCAAGCGACTATATTAATATAAATTAATAATAAACGTATTAATAATAAAATACAGTTAGTACCGAGATTCTTCACAGTACTGAATAAATACCACATTCTTGAGACTGAAAACTCAGAGTTTGCTCAAACTAAACATGAACTTACCTGGGTAAAAACTGAAACCAGCTTTGTGCTACAGGCCACTGAGGGTTAAGGGCAGTGCGTAATTTTTTTGTTTGCGTTTATATATACAGTACTGTGCAAAAGTCTTAGGCCATTAGCAGTGGCGTAACTACAGACAGTGCAGGCAGTGCAGCCACACTGGGGCCCGTGCCGCTGGGGGGGCCCGCAGCGCACACGGGCCCTGCCCACGTTGCAAGCGACTATATTAATATAAATTAATAATAAACGTATTAATAATAAAATACAGTTAGTACCGAGATTCTTCACAGTACTGAATAAATACATAAAT